GCCCTCCTGCTTTCTTCCTTCATATCTCTCTCACGATCCATCACTTTTCCCTGGCCAACTTGAATGCCCTCTTTCATCAAGCCGGTAAGCGAATAATTTTTACAGGGACCCAAGCGCAAATCCCCCTCCACCGCGTTCGCGGGCTGCTCCAGTCAACTCCGGGGGCGCTCTTCCGGGGGCGTCCGCCATCTCCACCTCATCACCACTCCATCATCCATGGGAGTCGGGAATGGGAGTCGGGACATGGCACTCAAACCATTCCACTCAATCAATCACATGGCGCTAACCCGAATCCCGACGCCAATGGCCCATTGTCCTCTTGCCGACACCAATCTTCACCTACCTCGTCCAGTAACCGATCTGGCGACTTGTTGCTGCAACTCGAAACGCGTCATCTCGTGCGACTGATAACAGAAAAGACCAACAAATTCATGCAGTGATGCATCTGGCCCTTGTCGTCACCTCTCGTCTGGAATGCCATTGTCCAATGATGCCGATCCAGCTACCCCTCTACCGGCCATCGCCAGCCTGTTTAAAAGGCTCAATCATCACATTCTTGCAATGCTCATTGGTCAAAATTGTCCCCTTTTTCCTCCGGCCCGCCCGCTTGCGTCTGAACCGCCCCGTGCTGCTTGACAATGCTGCATCTAGCCTCAGCCCATGTCTTGTCATGCATCTGCCCAGATGACTGCAACTGCGCTCAACAACCACCTCTCCTTTCCCCTCGTCAGATCCTTGATGATATGCCATGAAAGTTTGTGCGCAGTAGCACCTTACTCGCCATTCTACCGACCACTGACCCTCGCCAGATCTTGATTACATGATTCGATGATCTGCAGACCACGCTACTCTGCCGTCTTTCTCACTAACAAATGGCCTCGTATCCTTTGCGGCTTGGTCACCTCGGTTGACAGCTTCGCCCACTGTAACACACACAGCAAACTCTGGTTCTTTTTTTCCTGGTTGGCGTCGAAGCTTGACCCAAACTAGCTTGGTATGACCCGAAAACTTCGCGTCACCTTCAGGCACCAATCGTCACGCTTGCGCTGCTGGTCTACAAAATCTTGGTGTTACAACTGTCTTGCGGGTCAATTCTGTTCAAAGTATCTGCTTCCACCCAACTACCAAAGAAGAAGAAAAAGTACAAGTCATCATCCAGTCGTGCCCCTCACGACTATGCCAGTCTCCAACACGTTGGTCAGTCTGAGTTTCTACAGGTGCCAACCCAAAGTAGATTGAATCTGATCAAGTCGGAAATCTTGTGACCTTGTTTCACTCTATGATCGTGTGCCCCTCTCAACTACCGACACCCGTGGTGAACGCGTGGGTGGACCATGGGCCGCAATGGCGCTCATGATGGCACGCTACTTGCTCGCTTATAAAACAACCAACTTAACAGCGACATGGTTGACAAGGATGTTGGGCTCGAATTTGGTCACTTGAGCCTAAATATTGCTTTCAAAATTACCGTTGCAGTGGGCTGTCCTACCTTCCAACCCCATTTCTGTTTACGCTCAGGTCCCGTCTACAGGGGCCGGCAGTCGTTGTAACTATCAATACAGTTCAGTCAGGAGTCTCACCGGCAAGAGACGTGTTTCAGACTTGCAACACAACACCTAACTAGTGCACTCATCATCTTTGACCTTGACCTGCACGGCAACAGCGCAAGCACAACTGATACTGAAACACCTTGTTCCTTCTTTACACAGAGTACGGATTACACTCCAAGCTATTTAGCTATTTACGGATATCTATCTATCCAATGTCGCGAGGAACGAGCATCCTGTGGATCGTTGGCGCTACTCCGCGTATACGTAACGTACATTAGCTTCACCTAACCTTGCCCGAGGCTCCGACAGATTACTACAATGATAACTTTATCAAGCCTCACTGCTCCCCGCTCCCTCGAGCATCTCAGCATGCTGGCTAATGAACAGCTGTGTGTCAGTGTTACAGCAGCCGTTCTCGCGAGCTCTGTTGCTGGTGAGTTGCCCGTCCGAGAAACGTGTCCGGCACTGGAATACAGTATGATGTCTGTGCACTCATTGGTCCTTTGTAGTCGCACAAGCACACGCCACGTTTTGCATCACAATGGCAGATGCACGTCCATTGTTTAGTCGCGGGTCGACGTCTGGCTCAACCTTGACCAAGATACTCATTCATGCAGCTAATTACACGAACGCGCCACATTATGCTTGCTGGAGAGCCATGTGCTGCATTTTTTCTTCTTTTTATATGCATCTTCCTGGTAATAATTCTCAAACTTGACGGCATCAACCCTGGCCTTAGTAGTCCATTTATTGGCATCGTTCAGGTCACACAAGGCTGTCCACGTTGGCCTTGCCAAAAGTCCACCCTCGTTTCATCCCATCCCGCCGGCGACCGTCCTTTGTATGTACGTACGCATTACTCGTAACAAGATGGCATCCCATTGGATATTTAACACTTTGTCTCATGGGTTGATTACAGTATCTTTTTTTTTTCTTTTGCTACATAGAGGATGAAAGGGGGGCCCGCTGTCTGCAGGGATCAAGCCTGTCTTCCACAGCTTGGACCCTTTTCTCTCCCTCCCAGAGTCCCAGCGAGCCCAATGCCTCAACGAGTTGACTAACTAATTAGTTGAGTAAATCTTTGGCGGACGGGAAGGCGGGCTCGGGCAGGAAAGTCATAGCATACTGTCGCAGGCTGCGCTTTTTTTTTTTCCCCCCCAAGCCATGCGAGGACTTGATGGCGCATTCCCCCTTGCACTAAAAGAGCCGTCCCGTGTAGTGAGTGGTTGTACGACAGCTACCACCACCTGTCATGGTCGTTGACCAGACCCGTCTGAGCAAAGCTCCTGCCCTTCTCTTAGAACCTTCCTGAAAAAGACAAAGATTTTCCTGACATGCTAATTATAGCTGCGTCCTTTTTTTTTGTCTCACGTTGAACTGGTCCAAGGACTGCGCACGTTGATCGCTTGTATCTGGCTAACAAGCCAATCTATCGGAATCTAGCAAACAACACACCAGCGCCCGATAGGCAAGTGACTGGTATCCCTTCATCAAGATCGCGTCATGAGCGTGTGCATTTATCCATATTGGCTTTTTTTTTTTCCGGGCTCCCTGTAAATTAAAGCTGCGTGTTACTTTTGATAAAAACAAAGACATCCAGCGTAGTCGGGGGCATATTAGACACGAAACGCATCGATCGATGGCTTTGCTTGTTTGAGTCCACTGCCTATATACAGGGTATTACTTAGGACCCAGCACAACGTGGTCGTGTCGTGAGGACAAGATGACGTGCACACTATACCCCTCCTCATAGCATGGCTGATATCGATGTCAATGTAATGCGCCCAATTCACACAATTTTTGTCAGGGCGTTTGTTTGTTTGTTTGTTTGTTTATTATCGTGTTTTGTTTTTTTGGGGGCGTAGTGTGCGAAGAAACTGGATGCTTTGACTCTGAATGCCCTTTGTTTTACGGATGGGGGTTGGTTGGAGTTGGAAGACGGGAGGGGTGTAGAGGACGGCAAACAATGAGGGCAGAAGACGAGCACAAAGACGTCAGCAACGTGGCCATCTCCTATGAATAAAATCTCGACGGTTACACAAAGGTTGACGTTGCTGGTTTCGGGCTTGGTGATTGAACCTGGAAATCGTGAAGTAGCACACGGCAATTGTGATGTGTAAGACGGGACGACTGGGCGCCGTTGTCACGGGGAATGCCCTCATCTCCCTGGATACCTTTGAACCCATGATCAGATGATTTGTAGCAAGTTTGCAAATCTCAGTCTAAAAACGGAAGCTTGCTGGCGAGTCTGCGGCACTGTTCATCGTCTTGGTGACCCTGGACGGGAAGCTCAGCTGATCATGGTGATCCTGGCCAACACTTGCCGGCCTTGCAGGGCTGGCTGCCGCTTTTTGTAGGGGCGAGTTCCGTATCACTGCAATCAAATGCAGTGCGTAGGTTCTGTCCATCGCAGATCCGGTCAAGATACTTTGTAGGAATTGCCCTGCCGGCCCTGGTCGTCTGTAGGAGAGAGCAGTCGAGTGGTTTCCTTGCTGCAGCCGTCCAATGTTTGAGGCTGATTTTTGCTGCAACAATGCTCGCTCGCTTCCACCATGTTGTACGGTAATTAACTGCAGTTGAAGAGCATGCCTCGAGGCCCGATCGAATGAGCATTCTCGGTGAAGCTAAATGCAGAGACAAAGGGAACTCGGCGACTGCAGCCTCGAGGGCCTTGCTTTGAGTGACGTCGAAATTGTGACCGGCATCGTTCATGTGAAACTTCGGAACCGAGCGGCATTGACTACTGAATTTGCCACTGACGATGATGTGGCATCGTCGCCACAGAGTTTCCCACAAGCCCCGTGATGACCCAAGTTCGCAAGAAAGGCTCCGGATGCGGAGGGAAATGGTTCGATCGACCCTGATGAGTATGCCGGTTACGGTTCAGGACGCACTTTTTACTTGAATGGTCATCAAATACAAGTTGAACATGTTTCGGGTCAGATACTCCGGAGCAAGGCACTGGTGGGTTGAGGACTGCATGGACAATGAGCGCCAATTCCGATCTGCCGAAGTCAGTGGAGGAGCAATAGATACATACTAATGATATTGCATTTTTCTCATGATATCAGTAACGATATACCCCTTCTTAGTGCAAGCTGGGATTGGGTTCGGGGCCGCAGCGACAGGCCCGGATTTTGTATCTTGAACCATCGTCCACAAGACCATCGACATGACTTGATGTATTGAGCAGGCAAGTCTGACTGTTCGCACTTTACTTGGAGGAGATGAAAACCGGGATAAATGACTTCAAGGGTCTAACAGATGTACGACCGTTGCGCGTTAGCTGCAAGCTTGTAGCATCATGGTGGAGAAGCAGCAGGCCAAGCTTCCAGCCCTCCCTCCCCAAGCTGCTCCGCCACAGGCAGAGAGGCCCCGCCGTTGACGTCGGATCTGGTGACTTTGTACCCGACAAAACATGCTGAGGATTCCGTTGACGCGCGACTCATTATCACTTTCCACGTCATGGCCGCATACATTACTCCCAATTTCCTCTGATCGATTAAAAACCTAAGACCGCCATTTGTCGCAAGCCCTCGACTACGAACGATTCCCACCGACGCAGCACAATCACCCCGCCACCCGATACGTACCTTTGAGCAAACGACTAAAAGAGGCCCTACAACTTTGATCAACATCACGCCACGCCGGCATCTCCCCCCTCGACGATGACCTCGCAGATGGAAGCATCGGCTGTTCCTGCACGGTCGGGATCTCCTACCGGCTCGCCTCGCGGACCCTCGACCACCTCCCTGCAAGCGGCTGCCACAGTCAACGCCGGCCTCAACAGAGAGCTCTCTCCACGTAGGCCCATCTAGACCCTGGATGATATGGTGTGAAGGATGGCTTGTGATAATACTGACCCAGCTCCCATAGGCTCGTCGACGGGCTCCCTTACCCGCACTCATCGATCGTCGTCTAATGCGGGCAGGCGTCGATCCAACGTCTTGATGAACCTGCAGCTCAACGACCCGACCGTCCCCGGCCCCGGCGAGATGGTCTCGGAGCATGGCATCCCGCAGCACCACCGCGCCCCGAGCCTCGGAGAGCTGCACCAGGAGCTCGAGGCCGAGCAGGAGGCTCATGTTGTGAGTCTGGCTCTCTAAACTACACCCCCGCCATGGGCTTTTTGCTAACATCACCGCCTTCCTCTGTAGAACCGGCTGCTGCAGATGATTCGCCAGCAGCAGCTCGAGCTTCAGCGGCTCCAAGCCAGCAACCCCAACAACAGCCACGGCGCGTCCGGCGAAGACAGTAGTGCCGTCTCTGATCGGCCTGCGCCCCCTGTTTCGCAGGGTCCCGTTCCGTCTCCGCTTGTTGGCTCGTACCCTCGCTCGCCCGTGTTCCATCACCGGCCGTCTCTGGACATGGCCCGCGCCGACCTCCATCGCCGCTCGAGGACACCTAGTCGTGGCGCGTCGCCGAGGCTGCGATCCACGTCCATCAGCGCCGAGAGCGGCGACTGGGCCCTGGGTGGCCGTGACGAGAGCGCCTTTTACCAGGCAGAGGCGCAGATGCTCACGAGAGAGAACCAGATGCTCAAGCATCGTGTACACGAACTACGTACGCTTACCGATGGACCCTTTTTTTTTCTCTTTTTTTTTTTCGCGCGTGCTGCTCTGGATGCTAACTTTGGTACAGAAAAGCAACTCAGTGAGCTTTCGGCCAGCCAGGGATCAAACGAGCCACCGACACCATCAAGTCTCTGTCGCTCAAGTTCAACGGCCGGTCCCGCCGCCGAATCTGCCGAAGCCGACGCACATGTTTGACACCAGTCGCTTTGCCCTGTGAGTTACGAACGGCCGAGGTGCGCAAAATAGCTGATGCGTACAATTGCATGTTTTGATTTTTTGGAGTTTTGGGAGAGTAACCAACAATGTACGATAGATGATGGGACGATTGAACGTTATGCTCCTCGTACGAATGGCTTTGCTAGGCATCAAGTGTTTGTTTATAGGTTTTGTGCTTCTCACAATGTACTTTATTGCTATCTTGAGCTTGTAATAATCCAATGCGCAAGTGAAGCTGACAAGGTTACATACATCGGTGTTCCGGCCGTTGTTTTACACGGAACTAAATCCGACATGGCCAGGTGCAGCGACATCGGCTCTCATTCGCCCACGAGCGTTGTTATTCTTTAGATAAAGTAGTGTCTCACATTTCTGTAGCCCCCATTTTCATATTTGATCATTCTTTTCAGTCGATTACCTACGTTTGTAGTGTTTATTCATCAACGCTGAGCATGAACTACAATCACCAAGGTCCCCTTGATCCCCACAGTCAACGGCAGGTAGTCCGCTCCGTTGCCGAAGCGCCAATTCCAAAAACCCATCTCTCTCAAACTTACACACGACCTTCTCGCCATCTCTTCGCATTGACAGGCCAGCTCAACGTCACCGCGCAATGCTGGCTAGGCGAGCGACACCGTCGCTGGCATCTTGGCCCCCAAAGTCATGCTACTCTGCAACGGCCCGAGCCTGCTTTAGTGCAACGGCGGCACCGCGCGCCGATTTCACTCATGCGGTAGGTGCTTTGCTGTCATCTCATATTTTTCTCTCCCTTGTGAGACCTGTACACCTCCTCTACCTACGCAGTCTGCGTGCGTATTGACATCTTTTGCCCTGTCGATTGGGGGACTGCTGCTGTCCGGGGCGTGCTGTGCGGGATGAAACGCAACCCCCCCCCCCCTGGTTACCTTCTGCTCATGGGGGCCCTAACCGTTCGTGCATCGAGCATCGCCGGGCCGACGTTTCAAAAGTTCCCATTATGCTCCAATCTTTGTTAATATCCTACACATGGCCTCATTGACATGATGGAAAGCAATCTCTGAACATGCCCGGTTTCAATGATGATATACCTTTAATCGTCGTTGGCTGCTGCCCCGGATCTTGTCTAAACCGATGATGCCAAGCCCTCCTATTCGCTCTCAGAAACAACTGATGTGACATTCTTTTACTCAAATACCCAGACTGATACCCTTTTTCTCTGCTCCAGGTCATTGGCGGCGGCGTCGTCGGCATCGCCGTCGCACGGCAGCTCGCGCGGCGCTCCTCCGGGTCGACGGTGCTCATTGAGCGGCACACGGCGCTCGGCACCGAGACCAGCTCGCGCAACAGCGAGGTCATCCACGCGGGCCTCTACTACGGCGCCGACAGCCTCAAGGCGCGGCTGTGCGTCCGCGGCAAGCACCTGCTCTACGACCTCTGCGCGCGGCACGGCGTCGGCCACCGCCGCACCGGGAAATGGATCGTCGCGCAGACGGCCGCGCAGCGCGCCGCCCTCGAGCGCTTCCACGCCGTCTGCCGCGACACGCTGGATGTTCCGACGCGCTGGGTGTCGGCCGCCGAGGTTGCGCGCGACGGCGAGGGCGTGGTGGCGGCCGCGGGCGCGCTGGAGAGCCCGACGACGGGCATCGTCGACTCGCACGGGCTGATGACGTGTCTAGCGGGCCTGTTTGAGCAAGACGGCGGCATCGTCGCGCTCAACTCTCCCGTCGTCGGCGTGCGTCCGAAAGACGGCGGCTGGGCGGTGGACGTGCAGGACGCCGCCACGGGCGAGACGTCGACCATTACGGCCGACACCATCGTCAACGCCGCAGGTCTCGGCGCCGCACACATCCACAACATGATTATCGGCGCCGCCGACGCCTCACCTGAACGGCAGCTCACGCTGCACTACGCCAAGGGTAGCTATTTTTCCTACGCCGCGTCGCGGCCCCGCGTCTCGCGCCTCATCTACCCCGTACCGGAGCCCGGCCTCGGCGGCCTCGGCACCCATCTGACGCTCGATCTCGGCGGCCGCATGCGCTTCGGGCCCGACGTGGAATGGGTCAGCGACCCCACGGACCTGGCGGCGCTGAGCGCGTCCACGCCCCGCGGTGCCGCGCGCCTGCGGGAAGCGGTCGCCGAGATTCGCAAGTACCTGCCGGGCGTGGATCCGACGGCGCTGGCGCCCGACTATGCCGGCATGCGGCCAAAGTTAAAGGGCCCGGAGCACGCGGGCTTTGTCGACTTTGTGGTGCGCGAGGAAGAGGGCTTCCGAGGCTGGGTCAATCTGCTGGGGATTGAGAGCCCTGGGCTGACGAGCGCGTTGGCGATCGCGGAGAGGGTCGAGGAGCTGCTCTACGGTAACAACGCGTGCGAGGCTTGATGAACAGCCGGTATCAACGGGGGACATGGCCGTCCATATAACTTACTTCGTTTATATGTTTTCTGGCATTTCTTCATTACCAGTGCTCTTCTTGTCTTGGTAGACCTAGAGGTCTGCACACGGCAAGAAGCTGTACATACACATCACATTGCATAGATGGGCCTGTAATCTATTATCAACAGTACTCTCGTGGGTATTCTACCTGCGCCCAAGTTCTACAACTACCGATCCCACACAGTACTGGTTCTGATGCAACAGCCGCTTTGCAACATTTCGTCCAAAGATCTTGCTCGTCGCAAAAGAACCTAAAAAACAACCAAGTCGAGACACACAAAGCAGGGCCTCGCTGTGCACCAAGCGCGACACAGTCCACAAGTTTCCCTCGTGACCGTGAAACCAGCCACCACAAGGGTCTGTTCAACCACCATACGCCGCTTGCACATAAGTATATGTACCGAATATTGAAATGAAAAATAGGTCCGAAAAGGCAAAAGGCAACTCCGTGTCCGCGTAACGAGCGCATGCTAATGTCGTAAACGAAAGGATATTGAACGATAAGAACAATGAACAAGAAACTGAGGACGAGAATGGCGAGTCATGTTTAGCGCATCTGCATGCTGGGAAAGTAGAGCCGGCTCCAAGTGTTGATATGAAACTCATAAATGCCATTCTGAGCTCCAACGAATCTATATACACTGTCAGCAATGGAGTCAAGTTGATGATTGAGAGTGGGGTCTCTTACAAGGTACGGCCATCGTCGCTCCAAGCCAGTCCAGCAGTATTGTCTGGCGAGGGTGGTACTTCGAATAGGCCCGTGTGCTCCGTCACGAGTGTTCCTCTAATCGCGCTTTCCTCCCACCTATTGACGACTTGGTTGACCAGAGGTACTAGCAGAGATGAGTCATCGCGTTCTGGATCGTTGGCCAGAGTGCTCGCTGCCGTAGTCGCAGGCCGCAAGCCAGAACCGGTTCCAGTTCCTATCGCCGACCCTCTCGCGGTCGTGGTAGTTGATGTGGTTCCTGCAGGTAATCCACTTCTTTCCCTTGCCTGTAGGATATCAAGAACGTTGAGATATGATGCATCAGGTCGATCGCCATCACGCTCACGCTGCTCCCGCATAGCAGCGACAGTCTCGCCCAGCCTGTCGATCCATCTTTGGTCTCGACGCCCAGAAAGTCTGTCGATCGGTTCTCTCTCTCTCCCAAGCTGCCGAAATTCTCGCACGCGTTCAGCGAGTCTGTCTCGTTCTCTCTGGTCGCGGTACGAGTTGAAGGTTTCGGAGCTGCCACGAGTGACACTACTACTGCGCTGGCGCTGAAGCGGCCGCGCAACCTCTTCTTCGGTGCTTGATGAACGTAAACTTGTCAGATAAGACCAAGAAGAATCGAACGTGGTGGTATCTCCGCCGTCGGTCCGCTGCGTGAGTCTGTCTCGCCGGCGACGGTCCCCTTGTATAGCCTCCAGCACTATCGTCTCACTCGGTGTAAGGGGCTGATTCAAAGTATCAATACGGCCATCTCCCTGACGCCTAGTGGCGGACAGACCAACCCGAACTAGTTGGTTGCCTTCTCTTCTGGGAGTATTTTGACCGTCTAGCAGCCTAGGGTCGATGGTGTTGCGGTCAAAGATGCTGATATGCTCGAAATCGGGCTCGGCACTGATGTCTACTATCTGGCGCACGATGAAGTCTGCACGCACATCAGCAATACCAATGTGACCACGGTCCTCTGTCCAAGCTAAAATATCGGATGGGCCCGGGCAAAAAGCCATGTCGCGGATTGCACCTGGGCCGCTTCGGGGTCGCGACGATTCAAAGGTTGTAAGAAGAGGATCTGTGTCAGTGTCCAACAACAGTTCGGCATCGTAAATAGATATGACTCCGTGCTGCGTGCCGACGGCAAGATAGGACCCGGAGTTTGAGAAGCAAGCGGCAAAACTCCCACGACTGTCTGCCCTGTCGCCCTTCTTTTGGCTTTTGAGCATGAGCCGTTGGCGAAGTTCCCAGGTATGCTGTGGCAAACATTCTGACTCGCAAGACTTTTCGGAACGAACATGAATGTAGAGATAAGGGTCATCTAGGATTGCGGCCATGATGCGTCCGTCAGGGGAAATGGTTGCACGGTTGACATAATCGGGGTAGGTAACGATGTCGAGCGGGACAATCTTGTCGCTCTTATCAAAGTCGTCCAGACTGATGACGGTGACGGTACAGTCATTGTTGGCTAGGATAGCAACGGGTTCTGTGTAGGCTTCTCGAACGGGAGGAGCGAGAGCGCCTGGAAACCACAAAGTGATGCAGTTTACCCGGTCATTTGCTATTTTGACGCTTTTCGCGATCAGGCTTTTATTTGATCTTCGCGCCTGCGTTATCAGTGCAAGTAATGATTCCTCACGAGTCTGCTGGTGCAGTGGTGGACGAGCGTCGGGATCTAAATTCAATGGCGCGTTGAGATTGATGCCGTCGTTGGCTTCGTCGAGACGAACCGCGACAAAGTCGCCACTCTCGCTTCCGCAACATAGCCAGCCGTTTTCCGCCACCAGACACCGAGGTGCAAATGTGAGTAGCTTGATTGTTTCACATTCGTGTGTCGAGGTATTCAGCCTCTGGATATGATTGCTGCCATTGCCGCCAGGGAAATATATCAGGTGACGTTTTTCGGCGGAAATGAGAGATCGAAGTTGCCAATGCCTGGAGATTGCAGAGTTAGGGAAGGCCCGTGCAGTGAAGTCAAAGCTGGGAGGTGCGTACTGTGAGCGAACCGGGATCTGATAATGCTTCCGCCGCTTGCTCGAAACTATGTTCTCGGTGTGGCAGTACCTGGAGGGATGCTTCGTTAGCGATGGATGCGGCGGGCGAGTAACATTAGTGAGACTAACGCTGCATCGTCTTTCGCATACATGATGACTCGACGATATTATCCGCAACAATGTGCCAGCGGCGGTGCTGTGCCACCAGGTGGCGAAAGCCAGAATTGAGACTGCGAGTCACCAAGATGGGGGGTATCAGGGCGCTTGTCACCGAAGGCCACGAAAATGAGCGCGAGCACGCGAGGTACAGCACAAGAGGTCGGTGAAACAGGTTGAGACGTAGAGATTTTCTGGATAGGGTGCTGATGGGGAGGTTTGGCGAGACGGATGAGGCGACGTAGAGACAGAAGAATAATGTCAAGATAAGGTCGTGCGATGGTAGTAAATGACGTCCCTCGGATTTGGCAAAGCCAAAACTGGGGGGAAAAGACTGAGCGAGAGCTCCCTGGCAACAGTGGAGGACGATACCTTGGCGCCACTCAATTAGGCGTTGGAATTGCCATCAGGCCGCTGCACTTACCTTAGTTAGTGAGTAAGCCCCCAAAGGCTGTCAGAGTACGGATACACCAACGCCCATTCCTCGTCTCGGTCGGGCTTGCAGGGGCCTCTCTTAGTAATCATTACCTACCTAACCTTACCACGTCACAGATCTGAGTGCTCTTGACCTACCTAAATGGGCACAGAGCCCCAGGCTATAGCCACTAATAACGTAACGGACATCTATTTTGGGATTGGGTACAAGAATTACACTCGGCATGGTCATTCTACTTAGTTACTTTCTGCATCGTCGGTTGAGTGGGGAAATTAACGGGTGGTCTTTTGTATTGATTGACACGCAGTCGAAAGCATATAGCCCACAGCAACCCAGAAGCTATTGGTCGAGCTCAGAAATCACGTACAACCGCTACGAAGCCATGTACAAGCCATTGGTATCCAATACGGTCTTGCTGTGCTAACGCTCATTTAAATCAATAGAATCATACCTGTGTCTTTCGTCCCTAATCTATGCAGGTCTTCAATTGATCACACGTTTAGAGGTCGGTCACGTGCCCTTAACGTTGATTGCGGCTCCCAAGTTCCGCCACACAGCTCCAGAGATTGCCTTCTCGGAATTACCAATTATCCGCTCCTTTCCAGCCGTCACTAGCCCCAGCGACGGGTGGACCCGGCCCCTTCATTGCCTCTTTCTGTCGGCTTCTATGGCTGGGGTCAGGAGTGGCTTTTTCTTTGCGCCAGAAATTTTCCTTCCCCTTCTTCCTTT